TGATATCAGAGATGGGCAATTTCAACTCCAAAGTTGATGCTTTTTCTCATCAGAGTGAAAATGGAGTAGGAACAGGACAGAATGGAAGTGCCTATCTTTAAATTTTATTAGAAAGTTTATAAAGCAATAAATTAATATGCTACTAATTTATATCAATCGTAGATTTAATTATGTTCAATAACTTAAGTGTATTTAAGAGTGTTTTGGCAGAAGTTCAGTTTTCTAAGATCCGACTGGAATTGAAGTTAAATCAGAGTTGGAGTAGGATTTTAGAAAAAGGAGTAAAGTGGTATGGGGTTGGATGCAGATGAGCGTCGGTATCCTCTTCACTCTCACCTACACCCATACCTTTCTGAGGAGATTTCTATGTTTTAGTGAAACTTATTTTGAGTCTGTAGCTCATTGTCTTGTGATATAGAATGTTCAAAAAAAAAGTAAACTTGTATTATAATAAGGAGGGCTTTTGTGATTTTTTTTTCTTAAATATTGAAAATTTATATTAAATTTTTTTTCGTACATATTTTGAAATCTAATTATTCTGATTTGTTTAATTTTATTAATTTACAATAAAATTACATTACATTTCATTTAAATTAAAATGAAAGTAAAAAAAAATAGAATTATCTTATTTATTTTTAAATCGAATAAAAACAAATCTATTCAAATAATTTCAATTTCATTTAGAACAAATAAAGATCTCCACTTTTTATAGTTATTATAGTTTTCAAAAAATTAAAATTAAAAAAATTAAAATTAAAATTAAATAATTCTTACTTTTATTTCGTTTTCGAAAGAAATTTACGAAAAAATATTTTATATTTATTCTTTAATTAAAGTTTAACTGAAACGAAATGAATTTGACAGAGTTAGATATTTGAAATTAAAAAAATTCATTATTTAGGAAAATCCTTTAAATTTATTATTTTTACGTGTTTTTTTAATGTTGTTTTTTCATTTTTTTCTTGAATAAATTTCGTCTTAAGGAGAAAAAAAGACAATAAAAAAACCAGCAAAAAACATTTTTTTCAAAAATATGAGGAAAAACAGGTTAATAATGTGTGGTCTGGTGTAATGGATTGGTTTAGTGTTCGTCATTTATTTTTGAGCCACATTCAGTAAATACACACCAACTAGGGAAGAAGATTTCAATTTATCCTAATTTCAAAACCACTAATTAATAAAAGTATCAAAGGATGTTGGGTGTAATGATTAAAAATTATATAGATATTCCTAAATTCACATGGATAGTTAAAATCTTGATCTTTAAGAATGTTTTGAATTTTTTAATCGTACAAATAGTAATTGAGTCTATGCTAATGAGCTCTCTTTTTATTTTAACTTATTAAGATAATATGTATGATTAAAAACATTTTTTTGTTAGACCTAAAGCGCACAATATTCACTTTGTCCTCTGTTATCGTTTCATGACAATTTATTTTTGAGTTCAAAAAGCTTAGTTTATATTTATTTCGAAAACTACCGATATTTTTTTTATCTTTTTTCTTAAGATCTTCTGCAAGACACTTATCAATCTTGTATGTAGGTCATTTATGCGTAAATGATACATTAATTATTCTACTATTGGTACAATTCAAATAGGAAAAACTTGATAAAACATCAAATTTAAAGGAATCGCTAGTTATTTTCTCACAAATTAACTAAGAGAACATCAAATAATATCATACATTGCGAATAGTATCAGTATAAATAAAAAAAATGTCTTAATTATATCTTTCTTTGACTATTTTCTTTTCATTAACGAAACGAAGAGCTCAACATCTTTGTCAATCGTATTGCTGCAGTTTTCTGAGTTGCTCAAAATAATGGAAGAGATAAAGAATGGTACTACAATAAAGTTGATGATAATAATAGAATTGAATTTTCTTCATTTGATTCACTACATCCTAAGATCATTGCACTCGTTGGTAAAAACACTATGTCCTTATTGGTTTATCTCGATTTCAAATGAGCTATTAATAGAAATTGAATTTTTTAAATTAATTTTGACTCATATCAAATTTCAAAACAAGAAATAGAGAATATTTGAATATTCCGTAAAAGAAAAATCATTTTCATAGAGATGTACGCTACATATGTATAAAAACAAGAACAAGATTATACAAACATTGCTACTATCACTCTTATTCCAACTATAGATTGTTTTTAAATAAATACCGACACGATATACAGGGTGTTTCATAAGTTTTGAGGCTTGATAAAAATTAATACATATGCAAACAAAAAGTGATCTCGGACCAAAGATATTTATATAAAGTTTGAGTACTCGTGATGACCTTTCAAATGATGTATGATTAGATGAGATTTCATTTTGTAATAATAAAGATATACACATAAGAATGTTGAGATAAATTTTTTCAAATCGATCAACAAGATATTTTATTAAAAAAGAAAAACACTCTTCTTATTTAAAAAAAACACACTAATTTAATAGATAAAATGTAGTTTAACTATCATGTATCTGTTCCTCGCTAGCTTTTATCACTTCATCAAGTCAGATAGAAATTTTATCAATCATTTTTCTACAATCATCAGAAGTTATTTTTTCCATATTTTGTTCAGTCTAGGTTTTAACTGCTCAAAACTCGAAAACTGTACTCCTCGTACTTTTTTCTTTAAAATTCCCCACACGTTCTCGATGGGTCAGACATCGGCAAACGTTGCTGATAAAAAATAATTCGTTTTGAACCTACTACGCTGTTTTGTGTTACGCACATCACATGTTCATATATTTTATCCAGTTCATCTCAGTCACTGGGCGTATAGCGTGGTTGAACATGTGATCAGTTATTCATGACTGGCGGTGAATAAATGACTAAGATAAGTAGTTACTGGTCCTGCCACACTTTTATTTATGTAAGATAAGTATAGTACTTTATTTGAGAATCTTTAAAAAAATCGTGTTGGTCGATTTGGAAAAACTTATCTCAACATTCTCATGTGTATATCTTTATTATCATAAAATGAGATCTTATCTAATCATACATCATTTGAAAGGCCGTCATGAGTACTCAAACTTTATATAAATACCTTTGCTCCGAGATCACTTTTTATTTGCAAATGTATTGATTTTTGTCAAGCCTCAAAACTTATGAAACACCCTGTAATTTCACCTTCAAGTATTTCAATAATTGTATTTAAATCTTGACGAATGTAATTTTTCGAGAAAAAGATCTAAATATTCTTTCATGTGAAAATTTTTGAAAGATTATAGGAGGCAAAAAATGGATTGCCTTGGATTTTTCAAAAGCATCGGTTTTTCAAAAACTCCAGCGGTCAGGAAAGTGATAGCACTACATTTGACTCTTGGGTGTAGCTGTATGTCGCAATTGTTAGCCTTCTAGATTGAAAACTGTTTACTTTAGTTGCACATCGCTTGGTGGATTTAGCACCAAATACTCTATTTTTTTATTGTTCACTACTTTTTGTCAGTAACGAAAACAATCTTCAAATAATTCTTTTGATATATGGATCTGCTAGTATGGAATGTGTAGACTCTTGAAAAGATAATGATTCAGACTTAGTATCTGGAAATGTTTCAAATCAATAGGATACTTCTGCAGAAAACTATGTAGATTTTCTTAGAATTGAATGAGTTTTTGTCTTTTTAAAACCCTTCAGGAGTTTGAGTTTGTTTTTTGATGAAAACGCACTAATCGAGATAAAAACGTAGTATACTTATGATCAGCTCAATGAGTTAAACGAGAATATGCATGTTAAAATGAAAAATAAAAATCAGTCAAATTTTGTATTAGGTCTTACAAAAAATATTAATTTAGATGTTTTGTTGGTATTTCTACGGTCATTATCAAGATAAGTGTATGAGTAATGAACTTATGCGAGAAATCACGAATGAAAAGGAACAAGTTATCTTTATAGCTCATTAGATATTTCTTTTGATAATAATGATCGTAGAACTATCAAAACGTGGAGAAAAAATATCTAAATTAATATATTTTTTTAAAGCGACTGTGACCTGATTGAAAAGAAAATATAAGAATTTTTTTAAATTGGTAAAGATTCATTTAATTAGACAAATGAACTATTGAAAATATCTTTATTGATAACCTGTACAGTAAAATATGCACAAATGATATTAGAATAAATCATTTTACAAACAAAAAAGTTTTCTTCCATTGATCAATCGTGTAGTTTTCAATCGTCGAAATGGATGATATAGAATCAATTCGAAAGATAATAATAATTACTAGACAAATGAGAATAACCTTCTCCACGACAAAATATTTTAATCGAATCGTATTTGGAAATAAATAAAGGCAAAAATAACCATGCATTTGGAATATTCAAACATATTATGAATGAAAATGATCCAAGAGTTCGATGAGTTAGAAAGTCATCGTTCGTTAGGTATGAACGACTTGAAGTTCTCTTTGCAGACGTCAACGTTAATGATCAAATAACCAATCTGATAAAGTAGTAACGATTTCTCATAATGTAATATACAAAATAATTAATGTTATATTCATTTTTATTATTCTCAAATCAATCGATAGAATTATTTTAAACTAATCTAGCAATATAATAAAAAGTCATGAACGTAATTTTTTTATAATTCAATATTAGTTAAAATGAAAATATATTCGAATGTAAGATAACTTTTCAATATAAATAACAGGAGAATAGGTGGGCGAATGCTGGAAAATTTCAATTGCATCAACTAAATCTTGTGATAAATTATCGAGAATAATGTGAATAAATTCCTCGTTGATTGTAAATGAGAATTGCTTAAAGAGAAAAAATTTTTTTCTGTATGTATCGAGTCTCAATGATACGTGTCGGTGAGACCTTGGATGAATAACAAGAAGCTTTTAATTTTTCATCTAGATAATTATCCTTGATATTCTTTCCTTAGTTTTTTATTTAAAAATAAAATCCATGATTTATTAGTAATGATTAAATATAACGTTAACCTAAGATAGAATGTTCGAAAATGAATTGAAAACTCGGTGAAGTCATTTTAATCATGGAAACTCGATGGTAACACCAACATTTTTCGGTGTAATGGTGAGACCTATCACATGTCCACCTGAATTAACTTTCGGTCCACCATCGCCAAATGTAACTTGTTGTAACATTCTTGCGATAATCACTTTAAGTTCAAATCGTGCTAAATCTTGTCCAATACATTGACGATGACCACCACCGAACGGAATAAATACGTATGGATGATGATTTTTATCCTCGTCTAAAAATCTCTCTGGAACAAAACGTTCAGGATCGATTGACCAATATCGAGGATCATGTGCCAGAGTGTTAAATGGAATGACAACTGTATCGCCTTTATACAATTGAACGTTATTTTCAGGAAGACGATCGTCAACTGTCAACGTACGACAGGTTGCCTGAGCAACTGGATAAAAACGCAACGTTTCATTGATAACACAATCCAAATAGACTAAAGAATCGAGTTGATTTAATGTCAAACTCTGATTATCACCAATGCTCATCAGCTCTTCCTTGATCTTGCGTTGTACATCAGGATATTTGCTCATTGCATGAATGAACCAGGCCAACGCGGTAGACGTCGTTTCAAAGCCAGCAACCATAAAAAAGAGGATCTCTTGTAACACTTCTTCTCGTGAGAGACCTATTCAAAAACTAACAAAGATATTTAATTGAAACCATTTCTCTTGTTTATAGATCCTTTCAGACGTGAGACAGTGAAAATTTCCATTCTATTTGACAAAAATTGTTGAACCATTCAACGTGACTATCGAAGACTTTTCTCAGGCATGTGATCGTTTACTATAATGCTCAATTTACAAACTCTGGAACGATTCAAGAAGAGTTCCGTCAAATCAAGCAAAAACAAAAACATTTTTGAACGAAGGAGTTTTGTTTAAGTCCGAATACTTCTATAGTCATAAATGTGGTTTTGTAATAGTAGAAAAATAACTTTTACCTCTTTTTTGATCTTCACTTTTTTTCGCCTCCGCTTCTTCGTCTTCTTGCAGGGAAGCTACAAGTGAAGCAATCAAACATGTTCTCTTTCGTTGTTCTCTTAACTCTATAGTCTGAGCCATTTCATGTTCTATGAGTTGATATATATAACGTTCGATAATAGCTTTCGCTTGTCGATGTCGATAGCTGAGATATGTATAAATGATACCTACTATAGGTGGCGAAAAGAATACCAATCTACACGAACTCATAAATACGTGGAGTGCCTTTGTGAGCTCATTTTGATTCGCGTCATATTCGTTGAGTATATCCAGATTATAGTCAAAACTGATTAAGCCAAATATTTCAAGTAGAAGATTTTGACATTGTCGCACAATGTCACAATGTATATGATGACTCGGACTCGCATGCCATTTAGACAAAAGTTTGTCGGTACACTCGACAATTAGATCAAAATTATTGATAATTTTAGCGCGACGAAATAAGGGCACAGCGATCACTGCATGTCGTTTGTATTGAAATCCTAACCGCCATAACAAAATAAGAAAAGTCATTTCTTTATCCAAAAAAAAACTACAAGGTAACCTGTTAAAGTAGCGTATGTATTTGGAAATAGAATATTGAACTGTTCCATGGATATCTTGCCGTGATCATAAATATGTCGACGGGTAAATATATACTGAATATCATTGATATTATTAACGACAATGTAACGAGTAGAACCAACCCAAATTTGATAAATATCTCCATAACGAGACTTGAATTCTGCGAAGATTTCCGGTGGAGATTTACCATTCAGTAACATACCTGATTGAATTAGATTTCCAAAGAGAAAATGTGGTGATAGACCCGGTATAGGACCACGAAGAGTAAAATATTTGAGTTTGACATATAGAAGTAGTAAAACAATCACGCTTATGGTCAGTAACAACAGAAGCATAGTATATGACTCGTCAATATCTAAATGTCAAATGTTGCTCAGAACCATTATCATAAAATACTACAGAGAACTATGGCATAAAAACTAAGCTTTTTTTTACTTCTGACATCAATGTAATAGATTACTTGCTGTAGCGAAACAAAATAAGTTCAATATATCAAGAAAATTTTCCGTGTTGAAATGCATTAGATTAAGCTTGATGTTATTCATCTAACATTATTTACTTGCTTTGTCAAATCATTTGTTTTTACCTGTGCAGCATGGCAAATTTATACGTTTCTTATTCTTTGTTAATTTGCTTAATATTTTTTTCCTATTTTTATTTTTTTTTGTTATACACTCTATCGCGAACGTATTTACAAAAGATGCACATAAAACGATACATCTGAGTGATTTGTGTACAGGCAACCTTGCACAGCAAATAACACTAATATGTATTTATATTTCAAACGCTATCAAAAAACAAAAGACAGCAGAAAAAATCACATTACTTTTTATTTTGAATCGCATAATATATTATACTCATGGATATATGTATATATAATACAATGCAGATTTTTCAATCGAATTTAAATCCTAGATTATAATATAATATGTTTCTAAAACTAGTAGTCAAGTTAAAATAATAAAAAGAACTAAAGTGATAGAATCTATCAGCCAATGAAAAATATTTATGAGAAAATCATGATTATTTTTGATTAGTGATGTCAAAATCTCATTTTTTGGATGGGCCTCCTACGCTTCACAATAAAAATCCAATTCAGAGATTTTCATTTGATTAACAATGATTTTTAGGATAGCAATTTAATTTTAATCGTTTATCGATCCTAATCTTTTCAATCGATTATTAAGATGTTGAAGAATATCAGCAAGAGCTATATAGAACCATATGATTTGGACTAATACGAGGCATTTTGGACGGAATATAAATTCCTAGCAAGACTACAGTAGAAAAATGTCATGCAATATTTATTAAGACAAAAGTTCTAAAACAAGCACGATATACATGATCATGAACAATATTAGTACCATTTTCAAAACATAATTTAGATAAAATAATCTGGTGAAAATTACTTTTTATCAATAGAGCACTAATTCAAAACATAAATCATGTTTAATCGAGTCCAAAAACTAGTAATAAAGTGAAACGGATTATTTTCATAAATAGAAGGCCCACATGAGATGAGTAAGTAAACCTGTAAGGATACGAATTACAAAAAGCATATTATATACAAAGAAATATTATGTAGAAAAAAGTAAAAATATGCATACAATTAATTTAAATATTTCAATTAATTTAAATCGATTTTTTAATTTTTAATCGATTTCTGATGTAATTGCCCTATCTCAATTTGAAACAATTTATGTAGTAGTTTCGAGTTTACTTCATTTACTAAAGTTTAGCTTAGTGACGATTTCATATTTTCTAAACACAAGCAATCGAGAAAAATGATGAAAAATTAGAGTAACGCATTCAGATCTTGAGAAAAGCGCTCATCTTCGATGTGTATGATTCAAATCGATTACGAAGTGATAATAAATTAAAATTGATTAACAGGTAATAATAAATTGGAATAAATTAATAGGTAATAATAGATTAAGGAAGATTAATATGTACCAACCCAGTGAAAAATTCAAGCGATTAAAATTTCAAAATCCTATGGAAATAATCGAAATCAATAATTCAATTTTTGTGCAACAAAATCAAAACTATAATCAGTATCAATCGATTATTAGAACCTTCTAATCAATTGATATCGATTGAAACTTTGACTAGCTTCATAAGATTTTGAAATTTTAATTGATTGTAATCCTTAAAATTTTTCACTGGTTAACAGCAATAGATTAGCATGTAGAAATAAGAAAAAATTAATTATATTCTATCACAATCATTCATAAGTAATCTCCAGTTAAAAAATATAACTCATTAACATCCTCTTATTATTGTCTGTAAGTACTTGGTTTTGGCTGACCTCCTTCCTCCCTTGGTTGCCCAAGTTTCAACTTTTTTTGTTGTCGTTAAGAGTCTGTTCATTTAAATATACTGATTAGATATGTTGCATGGAATGGTGAAAATGTTCTCTACATTCACACTAACACATCCTCATCTTACGAATGTTCGACTGATAAAGTATTGTGAAGATATATGAATAACAGTACGATCAAAGATAAATGTAATATTCAATCAGAATCAGGTATAAAGTATATTTATTGGTCATTTAATCTAATACTTACAATGGAAGGGTCTGTCATGTCAGTTGATTTCCTTAACTCTTTTAGTGTCAAATGATAGCCCTCAACGAGAAACTACCAAATTAAAAATATGAGCTGCTGATGGCAAGTCTGGACCGAGTTATTCAAATTTTAAGATACTTACAATGTATGTAGGATGTACAAAATCCAAAATTCCAACAAAACCTTGTCTTCTTTTTTCGTGATCGTTGGATAGAGCTCGTCGAGTTGTATTAGAAAAAGTATGTTTCAAATTTTAAAAAGAGATTTTAAAAAAATTTCAGACTTAAAAGTCCAAATTATCATTATTTCGAAATATGAAGGGAAATAGACACAAAATTGTGATCGTCGTAGAATTTTTTTAAAATCTCTTTCTAAAATTTGAAACATACTTTTTCTAATGCAACTCGACGAGCTTTATCCAGTCATCACGAAAAAAGAAGACAATGTTTTGTTGGAATTTTGGATTTTATACATCCTACACACATTGTAAGTATCCTAAAATTTGAATAACTCGGTTCGGACTTGCCATTAGCAGCTTATAGTTTTAATTTGGTAGTTTCTCGTTGAGGGCTATCTTTTGATACTAAAAGAGTTAAGGAAATCAACTGACATGACAGACCCTTCTATTGTTAGAATAATAATAATATTAAATTAAGAAATACAGAAAAGAAAAATAACGGGCATATACCAACAAGAGTAGTCAAAAAATAGAACACTAGAAAAAAACAGTTTCCGTTCGAAATGGAAAAATAAATACGAGAGATCGTTTCTCTTGAAAAAAAAATACACTATAGTCTGGGAGAGATTTTTCGTTTTACTTATTTTGTGTTAGTATAATCAGGCTAAAGAATATATGCGAGTTCTACATTTCATCATCAACGAGACTGTGACAACCAGTTGTTTTTTTCGAACTCTTGAAAATAGTATCACCCACACTTCCAAAAAAGCAGTCTTCTTCTTTTATTGTTGTGACTGTATTGTCTTAGAATCGTTGTTACTAATCAATACATGTAAACATTCAAAAAAATTGCATTTTTGACGGTAGTAGCAGAATTCAAGAATTGATAATTCATTAAATTATCCTAATACGCTTGTGTGCTACATTATATACCCTTATTTCTACTTCCAAATCAAAATTCTAATTCTTGAGTAGAATTTTTATTCATTACACATACACTTGTTTGTGCATTAATTCCTAAAAACTATTCATATTCCATAAAAGATTCAAGAGTCTCATGTTTTTTTTGTTCTGCTGATAATTCAGAATTCTGACAAAAATTTGCTGTGATCAATAGAATTTGCAATAAAATTATTATTGGCTTACTATATTCGGATAGGCACACTTATAAGAATTATTACTGCACAACCAATGAATTACTTTCAATTTATTCATCCCGCTGAGATTTGATTAGGTTTTTTGTCTTTTTTTTACGATAAAATTTTTGAAAAATCTTCCATATATAATTATACTCTTCATAGCCAAAACAAAAAGATTATCTATTTTATAGTTAAACCTCTCTTTAGATATGTATATGTCACAGGCAAAATTAAACTTAGATACAATTCGTTTTTTATTAGGCGTAAAATTACAGATTAATTTGTTTTTTCTTTAAATATAGTTATTAGGGTGTGGAGTGTGGATGTGGGTGTGGATGAAAAGACGCCCACATCCACACTCACACCCTCCTCACTTTTATCATCAAATGATAAATTTATAAGATTAGATAACATTCTATTAGAAAATACTTGCTTCGATTTATTTATTCATAAAAAAAAACTATAAATGAGTGCGAAAAAATAAAATAATGAAATTGTTTAAATTGAAATCTGTTCAAATGACAATGATAAAAGTTTAAGGGTGTGGGTGTCAGTGTGGGTCAAGAGAAGATAAAAACTCACAGCCACACCCTCCCCCACACCCACACCCAATTTTTACAAATGAATTCG